TTTAGCGTTTCCCTTTCAGTATGAAAAGAAAAGTGAGTACCTCTCCTGCATAATGGCGTACAGTAAAAGCTTCCCCTCGTTCACTTCGGAAACAAGGATTAGATTTTAGATGTTGCCTAAGCTTATCAGCTAAGCTCAAGTCAGTGCCATTTGGAAAGGTTGATTCCTCATCTAGCAAGGATTGTAACCCTAACGGCTTCTGCATAGGATATAAGGCGGGCTTAGGGGACGAACTAAATAAAGGCACATAATGCAACAAGTTGTGAAGACCTTATGTCAAATGTATATACACACTGTTTAGTTATGTCTCACTAATGAACATATATCTGTCGTCATAGTGAAAAGATGACATCATCAGTCTCTAGTATGCGGAAACTTGGCATCCCAGCATATAGGTAGCTTACAACCAAAAAGAAACCAAGAAAGATAAAATGAACGAATAAAACTCATTGAAACAAGCTTCAACAGTTTTGGAATTCGATGGAAAATTTAAACAAACAATTAAGGGCCCACTAGGCTCAATAAGTAGAAGCTCACTGACATCGAAATAGTGTATGATGGAATGTAAAGCTTGAATAGCTTAGACAGCACAAGAGGAATAAGAACATTTGAGTTCATACCTTCTCAAAAAGTTCGAGACAATCTTGGTTGTCTTCAAAATCAACTCTTGCCCAGTCAATGCCATCTTGGATGTATTCCTGAAGAAAACTTCAGAAACTTAAACACTTAAACCCAGATACAGATGTAATCCCCATTCATGCCATCCACATCCCCTCAAATCACTTCAAAAGGACAATTTAACATAAAAAGTGCTTCTAAAACATTTTCGATTCCAGAGTTGCACATAATTAATGCTTCCGGGAAATGACTTAAAACAAGTGGCTGGTATATGGTATTCCATAACCATTAATAGTTGTATATCTTCAGTATAACGCATGGGACCTAGGGTTTCTTAGATCATTCGCAAGAGAATGTTACACCAAAATCTGAACTAAATTTGAAGACAAAACGGCTTCTTTAAAGACGGAACAACCTTCAACATTTCCTGGGTACAACTGGATGGAGAAAGAAAAGAAAGATGTATGTGCACATATGCTAGAATATTAAATAATAAAACAATGTATCACTAAGAGTCGAGTGAAACTAGAAGGTTTAAGAAAAACAAATATCACCTATGTTTGCGGATATTATGTAATGGCGGTGTAAAAGATTGAAATGGCTACCTCTTGCTCCAATTTGAACAAGTGACGGTTGAAGTGTTGTTGCAATCTTTCATTGGCATAATTAATGCAGAACTGCTCAAAGCTATTTCTCTAAGGAAAGAAAAAAAGTAAAAGCAACAATCACAGTTGTGGAAGCAAAAAACATATAGAAGTTCATGGAAGCGTAGACAAAGACACACACCTCAAAGGATTCAAAACCGTATATATCAAGAATACTGATGGACCTTCCAGTGCGCCTTTTGCCTACTGCTAGTGATTTATTAATTTGTTCCACTAGCCAGTCAAACAAGCAAGAATAAATTGATTTTGCCAATGCATCTCTTGTGTCAACGGCCTGAGAGATCAAAAAAAAGTATTAAAAGAAGTCACGAGACTTGTTAAGCACAGTTCTCATCGATGTCATTGTGTAAACAATATCTGAGAAGAAGTAGCCCCATAACAGTCTAACCTGAGCAAGGGTCAACTTTTGAACGATTGTATCATTTTCTTTTCCAACTCTCATTTTTCGAGTTGATAATGCCAGCTTTAGTTCCTCAATGTTGCACCCAATCAATGTAGCAACGTTAGTTAGACCTGAAAATTAGATCTTCAGTAATAACAAAACTAATCAACTTTGCAGAAGTAACGGGACTCTTTTGTCCGAACTAACGGACAAGGTAAACTTAATTGAAGTAAAATAAAAAGATTCCAAGTGAAGTAAGATAAAAAGATTCCAATTGAACTAACAACACAAACCTATTACATACAATCATCAATATAAGTATCCATTATGAATATGCATTCTTCTTTAATTACATTAGGTTAAGTAGGTCCACCTGAAGATAGGTAAGTTACCATTTCTCAAGTAAAATCGATGAGTGTCAAATGGAAAAAGGAGCTTGCTTAAATAATTTTAGCTCTCGACTTGTTTATAATACAACACATTTAGCATTATCCTTCTGCATGTTCACCCTGATATAATCTCACCTTCATCCACCACTGGTTCAACATGATTTTCACTATCAACTACAGTAAACGTGACATTCCCCAGCCATAGTACTGCAGCTAGCATTGCAAATACACTATCTTGGTCTTCCTTTTTGACATGAACAACATCCAGAGCTTCCTGGGTTTAGAAAGACGATAATATAAAGCTCAGTTAGAGTTAGTCCAAAATGTAAGAACACAAAATAAGTTAACATAAGAATATGATGACATTAGATACCACTACTACACGGAACTGTTCGGCATCATCAACCCCAGAAATTCTATAGCAATTGCTTTGCTTCAAATATTTGAAATCATCAGCATTTCTCAAGTTCAGTTTCTCTGCATAAAAGAACATAACAAACATAGAATAATTTAAACAGACAATTTAATTGGACAAAGAGAGAGAACTGGACAAAACCCGGCAAAGAGTAGAAGACTGGAAGAAATCTTGTTACTTTATGATCACCAACAAATAGATTCATGACAGTAGAAAACATGAAATTAATACCAAATACTGCAAAGACCGATGTACCTTTAAGATAGGGAGGAGCTCCACAACAAAGCTGATAAAAGATATGATATGATCTTTCTCCCTGTGAACATTGAACAACTCTGGACTGTTCACCAGAACAGCATCTCTCAGGGTTTTGTTTGCAAAACAAATAACCAAAATCGACACACTAAAGCAAAAAATTATATCATACCTTCTCCAGTAAAACTATAAAGAACCGTGAATTGTTCCATCACAAAACACCAAATAAATGAATTAGATAAGCCTTCTCAACAATACAGTCTCATGAAAAGATAGTAGTAGCGGTTGCAGTCTTACAAGTTTGAATCTTGGCACCAGATATCTTTCCAGTTTCACTGAAGTGAATTTCAATCAGCTTTCCCTGCAGATAGTTCCCATGTAACAAATACAAACCTTAGTTTTCTTCACTTCCGTAATTATATCAAAATATAATTTCTCATGCAAGCCAACCAAGAAATGAAGGAAGCAAAGCAACTTACGAATCGACTTGAGTTGTCATTTCTTAATGTTTTGGCATTACCAAAGGCTTCCAAAATTGGATTTGTTTTCAGTATCTCGTACTCTATCCCACTACCACCTCCCAGAGCAGCTAAATATTGCATGGCTATCTTTGCTGTCTCAGTTTTTCCAGCTCCACTTTCCCCACTGGTTAAGACAAGATTCAGGCTCCTCAGATAATTAACTTCATGATAAAGCACCCACACAAAAACAAAAACAAAAACAAACACATGTACATGGTAATTAAATTAAGTTCCAAGTTCCAACTCTATCCAAATAATACACACACATGGAGACACAAACACACACACACACACACATATAACCAATCCCGGATTTAATGTAAATTTTACATCTACTGACCCTTTAGAGTGACCTTTTATGATCTCTCTTTATTTATAACCTTATCATTCTAATTGATTTTCTTTTTCCTTTTTTATCTCTTTCAGGTCCCTTTACCCCATCAGCAAGAAATTCCAGAGTCCATATCTCTTGATGTGCCCCCAAAATCAAGCAATAGTTTTATATTTTAACTTAAGCTGCCAAAGGACGTAGGATTTTTAGCATAACTTGGTAGGATTGAGGTCTGGGTTGTTTAACTGTTTATCTGTCTCTAACAGAACTTTGGATGATCGTGTGTTCGTGTTAGTATGTTTTAAAAAATAATATATTTTGCTTTTGCAGAAAGGAGCAGTATCATCAACATCAATAGGCATTTGGATAGATATGCTGAAGAGCACTTTGATGAAAACGTATACATATTTCATAACATGGTCATTTGTATATGAGTCTTCTAGCTTCTCGGGGTAGTAGACCAACTGGCGACTATCAAACTTGACTTCCTATAGCAGGCACAAAATATTTGGTTCTTCGTAGTAGAAATATTCAGGGAACGTGGAACTCCTGCCAAACTCAGTAACCATCTTATGGAATTTGACCCAAAATACGCATAACTACATAAGGCAGAAGTAAGAAACAAAGAAACACAGACAATGCCAATAACTTATTAGGCATGATTTTTTCAGTGACAAATCCACCTCGATCAGCGAAGGAATATAATGTCAGTCGTTTACGAAAACTCCAAAACAAATAGCTCAGGCTGACAGAGAGCAAAAAACAACAGGAGAAACCGAAGGGAGAATAGCTCTAAGCAAGACTTAGAGAGCTTGCTGGTTGAGAAAAATAATAGTTGTACCGAAAGAATTGTCTCAGCATATCCCAGAGATTCTAAATAAACAGGATTGAGTAGTCCAATGAAATGCAAACATCCATAACAAATAAATAATTTATTGTCAAAGACAATTAGGATAGAAGTAGATGATAATTGGTTAGCATACAGTGATTCTAATGGCCAACTACACAATTCGAGATCCCAAAAGCTGGGAAAAGAATGAGTAATAATTCTAGAGCTCACTAGTTTCGTGCCTCAAGTACTATATCACTATAAATTCACCCACCCCAACATTCCCCTTGTAGAGGACCAAGTTACAGAAAAACTTGCAGTGCAACACAAGACAAAAGACCTATTGAGTTCAAAACGAATTAGCAATTGTTTTTAAAATGCAAATGGACAGCCCTAGAACCTTTTCAACTTATTGAATTCCAAAACTATGAAGTAAACAGAACAAACACCAAAAACCATGACAGTTAGCGGGAACTAATTATCTTATGAAGGTGACAATAATTGTAAAACAAACACCAAAAACCATGACAGTTAGCGGGAACTAATTATCTTATGAAGGTGACAATAATTGTAGTATTATAATACAACATGAATTCCGATGCTGCTTGAATTGATAACCATGTCACTGACAAAACAGATACCAAGAGAAACTGAAGAACAAAATACCAGAGTTCTCAACTGAAATGGAATTTCAGCTAAGACGAGATATGAACAATATAATATCTGACACAACCAAAAGTGACTCGTAAAGGAAATAGTGAAAAGGAGGTGGCAAGAAAATTCCTTGCAAGGTATTATACACAAGAAACACAAGTGAACTAATATGAGAGCATTAGTGTATAGCTGACCTTATTATGATTGATTGATTCACTTCATCTGCGGATAGATAACACCAAAAGGTCGAATTATTACTGAAAGTGGAGCTCTGCTAGTAGTTTTTGAAGTTTTATGTAGTTGTATACAAGTTACCTCGGATCATCTCACGCATAGCTGTATCAGTGATGGCATAGACATGTGGGCTCCCCATAGATTTGCGCTTGTAAGCTTCAATAAACTCAGTTCCATATAAAGGGACTTTTTTAAAGGGATTAAGTGCAATCAGAACGGGTCCTGCTTTAGTCTGAATAACAGCAGCATGATAAAACAGGTATCAAAAGCGTAGCAAACCAGAAAATAAAGAGAAAATCTTGAAGTACGGATTATCACTTACGTAGATCATATCCTGATTATATCTATACTCAAGGTTGTATAATACTGATGGTTCATTTAAGTAGCTTAGTTGCATAAGATCATCCACACCATCAAGTATATCAGGATTCGCTGGCAACAGGATTTCTGAATTCACTTCCAAAACCTAAATAAAGAAAATGATTAGGAAATAAAAAAACCCAGCTTCGTAAAAATATAATGAGAGACGAAATGACTGCTCACTTTTCCCTCAGCCAATGATATCAATGACTTGTTAGCAGAAGCTTGAAGAATGGTTCCGAGCTCCCAGTTACCATCAGGACATTGAAACCATGACTGAAGCTTCTGAAAAACAAACCTGTTAATAAGGTGCTTAATCATTGGAATTTATCTGGGTAAGATGACTTCATATGAAGCTATTTAATTTTTAAAAAACTTTTATCAAGTTTTTGTCTTTATTTTGGTAAAACAATTTGGGTTAGAAACCCTGCATCAGGTTCATAGTTATAAAAGGTGAAAAAAGCACCAACCAGCAACTGTTTCAGGGCCTAAGGTGCAAGGTGAAAACAAGACAACTTTCGGATACAAGGGGCGAATAAAATAGAACACAAGTAAGTAGATAAATAAATAAATAAATAAATAACACTCTTTTTTGGTTAGACTAAGATTCCCAAGCAAAATAGTCATGACATGAGAATAAAACAACTGAAAAAACATTTAACAAAAGCTTCAGATTCTACTTTCATCTTTTACACGTAAACTAGATAAAAATAAGGTTCACCTCTAAAGCACAATAGTCACAATTTTAACTATTTAAGAGGTACCAAAAACACTATTTCAAAAGGAAGAAGATGAAAATAGTGACACAAGAGAGGTAAACACCTCATGGATTGAGAATTAGAAACTTCCTCACCCTAACTCAAGGAAACTTGCAAAAAATATGTTTTCAAGACTCCCATGTTTCACAAGTCAAGGTGAACACTTATTTTCTGCAACAATTTGTGTTTACCTGTTATCATTTACTGCTGTTTTATTCCTCTTTTGGAGCAATTTAAATCATTAGAAGAGTGCAAACATAAAACTATGTAACAATTAACTGAAAATTGAATTAATCTTCCACAACAGTAACTAGAAATATTCAAGAGCCTTCAGAGATGCCACAAAGAAAACAAGATATATTTCCTCAACTTCAGCTAGTGATTCTAAAGACCAAACAAAATATCCAATCACTTGTCAAGTAATACCTTTGTTAATACATATAACCCAGCAAGGAGCTTGTACAGTACTATTAAAGAGAGTGAAGAAAATAATTTCCGCCTACATATTTTCCATCTCATTTATTGCAAAAGCAAACATCCCTTGCAGGACACCAGACGCAACAAGTACAAGTGGGCAATAAATAGAAATGAAATCTGATAAAAGAATGAATAACTGAAGCCAACATACATAAAAGAATGGAATAAACACATAACCCAAAAGAACGACGCAAGTCACCACATACTTTTAGCTTATTTGATGTGAATGAGGTGGTGTCACTCCATTTGGAATCCTCTTGAGATTGTTCAGATGAGTTTACAGGGAGAGTGCTATCCTTAGGATTATCATATGATGATGCTTCATCGGTGGCAGACATATCCAGAAAAGAATAGGGCGACTCATCATTATCAGGACCAACATCACTCATACCATCAGCTGGCCATGGTGCAGAATCACTAGAAACTTGTACGTCTTCGGACATGGTGTGCGATAATATCATTCTATCTTCACCCACAAACGTTAAATTGGCAGGCATCAAATTAATCGAATCAAATGAAGGTGGAGACTCAACTCTTTCTTGAGGCATTTTTACTCAACAATGTCCCTCCCTTTTTCCTTCCTCCAATTCGATGAAATGCACTCAGATGACTATAATTGGATCAAAAAGGGAAAGCTTTTTTCATGTCTTTTCGATCTTGAGAATGTAGAAAAAGGTCCCACAGACTTAGCTGCCAAACTTAATGGAGGGGACCATACATTAACAATTAAACGACACAGCAGGTGACTCTTAGCAAACCAATCACGCCAATTAACATCTCAACAACAAATCTTAAAAACCCAGTGGCCATTTCAACTTTGACCCAACCTTGATAATACCTTGAAGAGTTACTCCGAAACAATCAGGGAAAAGTGATTAAAGAAAAAGGATACGAAAATTGCACGTCCTGTAGATGAGATGAGCAAGCTTCAACAGATATTCGCAAAAATAAGTCAAATCATATCTGGCGACAGTTTCTCTTGTCTGAAGCAGCCAGAATTCTGGGGTTGATCAATCAATTGTTGTAAAGAAGACAGGAATTTAACATAAATAATAATGACTAAAGAATAACAAAAATGGCCGCCCTATATTATAAAATAAAAGACGCTGATGTGATGAGGTCGCATGCCTTGTGCTGATTGAGAATGAGATGATGAGACGATGGGAAGAAAAAATTCCAAGGAGTTTATGAATGATTATGGAGGTTGAGAGGGAGGGAGGGAGGGAGGGAGGGCGATTATTATTTTATTATGTTATTTTTCGAATCTCCTCAAATTTTACGCCATCTCCCAGCTGGTGCCCTGCGTTTGTAATTCACTTCTTTCATCCCCACCAAATTCATTAAATTTTTATTTTTTAATTATTTATACAAATAACATTATTTAGTATTTACACATTGTTTTCAAAACTGAATCGGACAGTCGAGCAATTTATATATTTATTAACAAAAAAATAATAACTGGACAAAAAACAACAAAAAAAGAAGGTACTGGACCAACATAAAAAGTATGTATTCCGTGAATACGTTTTCTATATATTTTAATAAAAAAACGTATTCACTGAATACGTTTTTCACATTTTATTTATAAAAGAAAACGTATTCCGTGAATACGTTTTACAATTAAAATGTGCAGAAAACGTATTCACGGAATACGTGGTTTTCATTTATGTCCACCTACTTTTTTTTTTTTTTTTTTTTGTCCACTACTTTTTTGTTTTTTTTTTCGGTAAAAGATTCCAGAACAGTCGATCTAGTGATAAGGCCGCTTTATCGATCGCTTCACTTTAAATGTTCGGTCATACGAATTTATATTGAAATAAAATAGATATTTATAAATTATTTTAACAAGTTGTTTATTCTAAAATTAATATTATATGTTTTAATTTATCTGATTATTAAGTGATTATTTTTTTTAATAAATAATTGGTATAACGTCAGAAAAATTTCTTAAAATCGCATAAACAATTGATATTAACGGTTTAATATTTTTTAGCTAATCAATTGATCACGATCCTTTAAAATTACAAAAAAATACATTATCTACTATATTTTGTGCAACCAATATAGTGATTCATATACAATCAAATCGTTATGTACTATTTATTTTAACCAATGATCGAATTTTAAAACATAATTCCATTATCTAACTTATGATTTTAATATTATATGCATAAATATAACTTAACTTATAATACCATGTGTTTAAAATTTAGTATCATTATCTAACTTATAATTTTAATATGATATGCATACGAATAACTTATAATACTTTACTAGTAATGCCCGTGTATTACACGGGTTCTTGCTAATTTTTTCTTAAAATCTAAAATTAATGAGAAAAAGTAGTTGAAAATTTAAATACCTTTTATAAAAATATATATTATTATATATTTAGCATGATACTTTTTATTTGTGCGACATGCCTGTGTTATATTATAATATTTTCTTTAACTTACAACATATAATTACATTAAACATAAATATATCAATTGAGAAATAATTTTATTGTTTTAATGAATTTTAATAAATATATTATTTTTTATTATTATAAAGATAAATATAATTTATTTATTTCATATATACAATATGGATGTCAAATCGAAAATCATCAAAAGATGATTAATTTGGTATATTATATATGTAAAACCGATAAGAAAAACAAAGGTTATCAACTTTTAAAATACATTTAAAATTCAATAGTTAATTGAAGGAAACAAATAAAAAATCAGGAATATATTAGTCATTTAGTGCATCACTATGTAAAATTACAATGAATTAAGGGGTGATATTAGTACAAGTGATATTTAGCTAAATAATATTTATGGAATGTCTGAACCTAGATTATTAATTATTAATATATCAATATTATTTGTCCAAACCTAATTACGAAGCATGATTTTTCGCCAAGTAGAATTCCGAAGCACCAGAAGCAGCCACATAGGCTCAACGCATTCGAGAATTATATATAGAGAGGATTAACATCTGTGCAAATGCACAGAGTTGAATACCAGTATAGAATGAAATTTAAAATAAATTATCTATTAATATATAATAAGGATTAACTTAATTAATTTTTAGAAACAATTTCCCGCCAAAAACATTAATTACTCCCTATAAATAGTAATTTAACAAAACAAGCATTAATTGCACATAATTTCCTTTTTTTATATATTAATTTAAAAGTACAAATATCCGGATATATCTATACAAATATCAGTACAAACAAGCATCAATTGACTTACCAAACATGCTTTTTGATATTAATTTAAAGGTACAAATATCCGTATATATCTATACACCCTCAGTGTTATTTTAATAAATATTTAAAAAAACTCTATACATCAGTTGGTTTTGAAATAACCGATAAAAATGGTAATAATATTTTTTGGATTTTGGTACAATAAGAAGAATTTTTTGGAAGCTACATAAATTCGTACAAATATTTGTTTTTCTTTAAAATATAGATATATTCGTTTTTCTTTAAAATATAGATATATTTCTATAA